ACATGAATAGGTATTTGTAGTATACTGCAAAAAAAAAGCAGTCTATCCAATATTTTAACAGAATGTGTAGATAACATTCCTAAATATGGATGTTTTGTCCGTATTTCACAGATACTCTCGAACCCAGACGTGTGGAAGACTCGCATTACCTTACTGAGGGGGCCCTCTGTAAAGGAAAGTTGAAGGAAGGTTTGAGAATACGCTGGCTCCCTCAAGGAGCTTTTTAAAATAGAGGCATGAAGGGCTCCTCACCTAAGGTAAGGAAACGGTCCAAAGTAAGGAGCACTTCAGAATACGGGCCATAGAAAACCTTAGATGGCTTGATTACACAGCACTATTCTTTTTAAAAAATGAGACCTTAAAGATTGATCAGCTATATAACCTAAAACTTGCTACATACATACACAAATAAATGCGAAAAGATCAATCAACATTTTCATACATGTATTTGACCACACATGAATAATATAGTTTAAGATACAGCCACTTCGAACTTCCGCTTTGTAGAACTAAATAAGGAACTAATCAACTTAAATATCTGATATCTTTTTTTCTAAATCAACATTCCTAAATTTTAAATTATGTAAATGAAGCGATGTCAAAATCTGCATTCAAGCATGTCTATAAATTTTATTTCTTTTTTATGTGCCCTCATGAGCAGGGCCTCAAACGTTATGTAGAGCACGACACCTGTATAAAAAATAGTGCATTTGTTTAAATTATTTTATGTGTGTCACAAACTGTTCCTCATACCATTGTGTCTTGTTTTTCTTTTCTCTTAGTGCTTCCACTTTCTTAAATTGTATAATTTATCTATGTTCAAAACTCTATTGAACAGTGCTTGGGTGGTAGGGCCATTGTCAGGCAGTTATTCTGCCTTTAGCCGTATCATTCTTTGACATGTAACATTGTGATGTAACATGCTGAAAATAAACATTATTATTATTATTATTATTATTATTATTATTATTATTATTATTATTATTATTATTATTATTACTATTATTATTAATATTATTATTATTATTATTATTATTATTATTATTATTATTATTGCACAGACTGTTCTTTGAAAGGGAGAACAGTTCGAGCTTTCAAAGCGAGAGCACTTTTTTTTCTTTTTGCCTGTATTTGAAAGTCTTACGCCTTAGACGAGAACAAGGTGTTATGTGGGTACTGGAATGAGGGTTTATATTAGCATGCACTGACATCTCCTTAAAATACCTATTGCAATGATACATGACCTTTGGCCCCTTGGGGAATGCCTTTATAAGGCACTCGTTGCTAGTTAATATTGGATAATACTGGCAGAAGATATTATCCATGTTTGAAAGTGCATTTGAATATCTGGTTATCAATGCTAGTGGCTGGTTTTGTTGTTATACTGGGGCTCTTTTAGCTAGCGTTGATTTTTTGTTTAAGTTACGTGCTTGATTATAGACCTTGTTTAGGACAGTGTATGGGTAATTTCTTTCAATTAATGTTTCCAATAAGTTGTCTATCTCCCTACGCCTAGCCTCGAAAACTCTTCCAGGAAATGTTTGATGAAATTATGTCATGTGAATTATCGCTTTTAATAAGACAGAAACAGAGACAGAGAGCAGAGACATGAAGTGGTGAACGTAGTCACCGAAGTCACTACAAATCTTTTTTATAGGCCTCGTTTGTCTAACAAATAAACCTTGTTCACAGTGTCGTGAGTAGTGTCTAGTGTAATCTAAGTGTTGTTGGCTGTCTTGTCAGTTTTCTGTACAGTGTCGCCTTTATTTTCTTCTTTCAATAAATACCGTCATGTTCAGGAATTCCCAGTCAGAAAAAGGTGAATAGGTCCCATTGGTCGTAGCAGTTCCTAACAAATGGTCCTCAAAGGCATGAATTAGAAACCAAATGGGATGTGGTGCTTCAATGCGATATTGGACCGCACAGTTCCAATTGGTCATACCAATTAGTTTGGTGGTTTCCATTTGGTCTCCCAGTTGTAATGCTTGTCGGTCCAACTGGTTGCAGACATTCCAATAGGAAAACCACTTGAACAGTGCATTCCAATTGGCCTACCAATTGGAACTCTTGTTGGTCTATTTGGATGTGCACATTTGAATTGCAAAACATTTTTTAATTGGAGTAGACCCTTTATTTGAAACATTCTAGTTGAAAGTAGCCGATGAAAAAATGAGGTCTTCTGGAAGTTAAACCCTTCTATAAAAGGCATGCTCAGGGCAGCAATTCTTGTCTCTTATACGAGATGTCTCTTATAGAGAAGGGTACCTCGTATGCATTTTCTTATCAAGCCCTATTTTGCTGTAGGCACACTGGTATCTCTTATACATATTTGTCTCTTGATATCAGTGTCTCTTATAAAGGGGTTCAGCTATACAAATATGTAACTTAAGAAGTTATGCAATGATGGCTGGTAGAAGTCGAGAAGGAATCATTGCAATAAAACAAGTATGGCGAATGTGCCGCACTACGTCTCCCAGTCATTAAGCATCACACAAGTCGACCGGATTAAGACCTGGCAGCCATCAATCGACCATCATTATCGAAGACTTCAGCAAGAATGTGGACCACAGAAGCACATCCCCACTCTACAACGGGACCAGCATCATTACAGCACCATCAGCAGACCTTGACATCCCCAAGTACACCAAATCAGCAGACGATGGACCCGTGTAGGACTGGTTCGACCTTTATGCTACCGCTCTATCCTGGTCGAAATGGGAGAAGGTCATTAACTTCAGCTACTATGTCTCTGACGAGGCATTTAAATTTCACTTCACTGACATCTTCCAGAACAATGAATCATGGAAAAAGATCAGAGAAGACGTGATTGCCCATTTTAGCGACTACGATAAAGACTTGCTTATTGTCTGCCCAACATTCATCCCTAGCATATGCTGTCATAAACGGCGAGGAATGGCACGCCACAGTAGTGAATTTCAGCCCCACAAAAGCTTTTGTGAGAGATCGAAATTTATTTATTTGCTTGAGAGTAGATCGTTAACATGGCTACTATAGGTATAAAAACTGAGAAGTATGTGTCCATGTGCTCCGAGTTGTTAATGAATTCTTCCTCACACTGTCAATTGCTAGCTTCCTAGATAGCTCAATCGGCAGAGCGACCGCCCCGGAAAGGTGTTGGTCCCGGGTTCGATCCTGAGAAATCCGTATAGATTTCCTACTGGCTTCGTGCTACAAACGGGTGGTTGTCTGCTTCCGCTTTCTTAGCCTTTCTGCCACCTTTCGGGTTTCTGCAGAACTCATTTGAAATACTTGTGTTTATGTGATTCGAGTTGTCAATGAATTTGCCCTCGCACTGTCAATTGCTACCTTCCTGGTTAGCTCAATTGCCAGAGCGACCGCCCTGGAAAGGCAATGACAGCCCCAGCTTAATCAACAGTTGAAATGACTGCTAAGGCAGCATGCTAGTACATAGCATACATTCCTTCCAAGAAAAGACAAGTCGCAGGAGCACACAGTTTTTTAAATTACAGCTAAACCGGCTAACAACAATCCCAGATATAACGATCTATCCCTTATAATGACCATATTTTAGTGCACTCGCAATTTCCGTATCCTAATTGTCAAAACTGCATCTACATATAGTGAAAATTTTTTCAACGTCTCCTTTTTTTACAACGAACACTTCGAACAGGGTTGCGTTAAACATATGGCACATATGAAGGGGAAAAAAAAGTTAACGCAAGCATTCTAATGCATGTGAGAGGCACGCAGTCATTCGTGCCCCATTGCAGTTTACTTACGATTAAGATATCATAGACTACAGCGAGACTGCATGCAAATTTCAGATGCTGCGAGCGAGGTGGATATTTTCCCAGGGATTTCTTCACTGGCTGAACGACAGTGAGGAAAAAAAAAAAAAACAGGAGACAGCAGAAAGACTGATGATCAGCTTTCACACAGCGAACTTTTCTCACATTCTTCTCTGCATCTATTATGGCCATAGCCGTGTGCAGGCATTCCCGTCATAGTAGGGTGAGGAGCGAAGGTTTACATGTGGGATAAATTTTGCACCCTCTGCCTCCTCGTGTGCACCCCTATGATGACCACCAATGATTAACCAAAGAATTCCTTCAAATGCAAAAAGCGATAAGTTTTTGTCGTATAAAAGTACACTGTGAGGCTCAACTCCCTGCAAAATGTCTTCTGACCGAGACTGGTCTATCAACGACTTCCACTCGGTTGCCACGGTGCTATAACGATAAGCATCAGAAAACAGTGAAGCGAGGTGGCCGGTTGGTGGTGATATATGTGCTATTTTGACTCATGGCAGACAACCTTAACACAGTCATCAGCAGATATCTGCTCGACTGCACTTCTTTAAACTGCGCAAAGTGACAGCGGCACAAACACTTCTTGTTGCTAGTTGCAATTTCACCGCCACCCCGCTGTGCAAGGCCACTTGCATGTTGCTTGCAAGAGGCATGACTTCGTCCTGTTGAACAAACAGGCTACTCGCCACACCCGAGTGAAGCATGCGTGAAGGATGCATGCTAATAAGGCAACAATAGGGGCTAGTTGGTATGTCTTCATGCTTGTGGTGCGCTGCAGGGTAAGGGAAAAAACAAGCAGAAAATCTTACGCTTCGGCACATCACAAACATGAAGAATGCATAAACGCATGCACACAAACACGCACAAATGCACGCATACTTGTCAGACTGTTTGCAGTCTGACAAGCGACGGCCTACGCTGAAAAAAAAATGTGCCGCACGCAACGTAGCGGCAACACGCTTCTGCGGAACAGCACAAGTTCGTTGCATACGTGGTATAATTCGCTAGTGAGCATATAGCAGGCGTCACTTAACATGCAAGAAGGCCTCATTTTTCACTGGAGGGCTTCTTAGCATTGTTTAATGAAAAAAATTATTTGATTTTCAAGTGCATTATTTTAGGGATGAGTCCATATCCAACGAACTTCTGGTCTGCTGATGCACACATAGTTATGCTTTACAAAGGAAGCATCATGGGATGACAACTCACCGCCAGTGTCTCCTCTTCATTGACAGCGAGGCACCAAATGCTGCCACCCTTGATTAGGCGAGAAAAAGAGCATCACCTATTATTATTCTGCTCTTCTTTGCCACAAAAATGCACTAGGATAAAAAAAAATGCAGTTTCCGAATTCACCATGAATAATTCCACAAGTGCAAACAAAAACTTGGTGCTTTTTTATAGCACAAAATGACACCACAAGAAAGAAGACAGAACGCAGCGCTGCTCTCAACTGATAAGATTTTTAGCATCACTCCCCTCTTTATACCAACTAGATACCTGTAGGACATGCGTCATGAACACCCTGTGCACAACCACCACAACATGGTCACCTAAGTGCACAAATGATAGCACATCCAAAAAAACAAAAATTCAATCGTTAACAAGGTTATGGAAGCCACACTAGTGCACTGCGAATCCTATGATTGAGTGAGCTTTATTCATTTACACGTCCCGGACAGCTCCGGACGGTCCCGGATGCGGTGCCGCATTCGTTTTTCTCGGGGACATATTGGAAGCACTGCCCACTGGTCTGGGATCACTCAGACACATGTTCGTTTTTCGCGTGCCTGGCAGCTTCTGAAGTGAAACTTCAAAGACTGACGTCACTACTATTTTTAGCATTTTCCACTAAAAAGCCCTATGGATTCATACCGAATAGCCTGCAACGCATTCTGTTGCAAAGAAAAAACACGACAAAAATTTCACTTCTAACGGGTAAATGTAGAGGTCATCAAAAGACAACATTACTTGCAGACATGACAAAAGCACCAACATTCCAATGAACCCACATATATCGAAGTTGCAAAAAAAGAATTTGCTTGATATATTAGATATTTCCATACAAACCTCTTAATGAAATTAATGGATTTTTACTAGGGTATGCATTTGGGCTGATTGATTCATAATTTCCAGTAGAAAACAGTGCTAAAAGACGGGGCAAAAAAAAAATGACACAAAACACGGCGCTGACTTACAACCCAATGTGTCTTATTGAAATGTGTCTTATTTTTTCAGCTTACATATGTATACTCCACCACAAAAAAAAGCAAAAAATAATAATACCGAAAAGGAGTTTACAGTGATGTAAGCGACTTGTAACTTTTTGGAGCATACTTTGGAGCAGGAAATGTACTGCTTTGTAGCAGCCATAAATCTTCTCAGAGCAAAAAAAAAATGCTGGTTTAGAGCAGCTATTGGTGTTTTAGAAGCCGACATTAAATTTGCTATATATTATTGTAGTTCGAAGTACTGTAGAAGGATCTTGTAAATAAAATATTTATGAAGTACATGCAACAGGCGACAATGTAAATTCCATGAAGCAAACAATGGCAGGTTACCAAAAAATGTGTTGCCAAATGACCTAAAATTTAAAATACTAGTATTTGTGACAGAAATCAAATCAAACCAGAAAAGCTGAGTGCTACATTTTAGAAGTAACCACAGTCTCATATAACTATTGTTAAATAAGCAGTAGATAATCGATAAAAAGCAATCCTGCTCATTTTCCCATTTCACCACACTGGCCTGCATGTCTAGCTGAAAGGAGGAAAAAACAACAAAATAAAAACAGCCAAATCAGCTGTTCGCGGCGAGATCGGGCTATAGGTGGCAGCACCGTCCTCGCACAAGTTCGGATAGGCGATCCGCGACGCGTATACAAATACACGCAGCAGCGCTTCGTTGCATGCGGTCTGAGTCAATCGTCGGCAGATAAAATGCATTGACTACAGTCTCCTTTTAATATCTACGCTCTTCTCTACTGAATCAGAGCACGGTGCCTATGCAACGTTAACACAAACCGCGAGTAAAGTGAATTCTGCCTTTTATATGGATGCTCGTTCTGGGTGACTCTCTTCACTTTCGCGCTAAATGACGCCTTTGCTGTGTTGTTTGTATGTGGTTAGCTTGTGTTCCGTACTGCTGTAGTGTGACTGAACTAGTTGTTTACATCTTTGTCATCTGCATAAGAAAGACCATAGAAAGTTCGCATATATGTGCGAGTAAGTTCAGTACCATCTTTTGCCCCTTATACGCATATGATTTTTTTCCCCTCTCATTCTGTTCACGAAATGTGGGACAGTCGATAAGTCTAGTCAAGAAAGCTTAGTGGCTGACGGCGCTTTGCGCTACACTGTGTTTACCACGTGTACGCACATGTTCTTGCACCAGTAAAATATAAAAATCTTATATGAGAGTTTAGCAGAAAGCTTTCATCGACGGATTACGTGCATGAGATTGCTACAACAGAGGCCTGGTTAATAAGCCAAGCATTTTTTTTTTTTTTTCAGACAAAAAATTACCACTGCCTTCAGTCCATCACTAACAATGCCACACAAACACTGAAGACAAGGTAAAAAAAAGATGACATTCTCAGTGAAATTATACAACGTTAAGCACAAGGCATGTCGTCTGAATAAATTGTCAGCGTCTGGGCTCTTCGAAGTGTTCTTAAATCTAAGCAAACGGTTGCACACGGTAACTCTATATTTAAGTATAAGGCATGTCATCTTAAAAAATTGTCAGCATCTGGGCTTTTGATAGTGTTCTTAAATCTAAGCACACGATTGCACACGGTAAATCTATTTTAAGTACAGTTTAAGTACTGATGTGTCACAGATCGTATAATAGTGATGTGTCACAGATCGTGTAATAGTAATATTTCAATGTAGTGGTACCACGGTCAGATAAACACAACTAAGGCCCTCACATAATTGATAAATTAGTGACGTAGTTGTGCACCTAACAACAACCGTTTTTTTTTTTTTTTTTTTTTTTTTTTTTTACAACTGAGTCGCTATGACACGCTGCATTAACACACCATTTAATAGCCCTCATGTTTGGGAAGATACCAAAAGCATTTTTGCGATATGCTAGAAAAAAAAGCAGCACTCATTCTGAAACTATTCTGGTGAATAGAGCGTACGACAACAATAAAAAGAACTCTGGAAAGTTGTACTTGCCGATCTTATTATGGCACATTAGCAGGCAAACAAGACCAAATGTTTTCGTACGCCGTTTTAATGCGTAGAAACAGTTACACTCGCACTCACATGACCAGACAAACCACACTTTGAGAATGTGCATGACGTACACACACATAGAAACACGACGCGGTTAGCAGACGACGCACTGGCCACAGCAGAGCCGCTGTGGCCAATTGTCGCCAGGCGGTGACTCTGCTCGATATCGCCGCCGATATACTTTATATGACTTGTCGCACAAATGACATCAGAGCCAATAATGCCGTACAATAGGTACACACTTGGATAATAGTGCACAAATTCTTTGCAGTTTTTCTAGGATTTATGAGTTGGTCTAACAGTAAAAGTTAGTCATTCCTACTATCGTAGTGTCATTTCGGAGCAGGTTTGAAGCAATTACTAAGAAAAATTACTGTTTGGAGCAGCATGAAGCATCATTTCTCTTTTGGAGAAGTTTGGAGCAATCGGAGCAGCACTTCCATCACTGGGTTTATTGGTACCAGAACAGCACTTGAGCAGGAGGCTTACAAACGCTGAGAGCGGGCGGCGACAACCGGCATACGATGATGATGATGATGATGATGGTAGATTTTAGTGGCGCAAGGGCAACTCAGGCCGAAGAGCGCCAAACACACGGTTTTTGGTCGATTTTAATATAAAAAGTCTACTCAGGGTGGCAAGAATGAAAGAGTAATGTATAGGACTTAAACTTAGGTGTAGTGACTATGTGTGATGCGTTTAAAACGGGCTATGCTCATGAGTTTTACAAAGTCATGCCGTGTCGTCAACAGCCCTTGTCAAGACAAGGAGTGCGTGCTGCATGACATATGATAAAAAAAATCTCAGCGATTCCCTCAGGATTGAGAGGAGGCTGAGATTAGTGAGAATATGTTATGGAATGTAGGAAGCCTACACTAGCTAAAAACTTTAACACTACTTTTGGGGGAAACAAGGGATCGTCTCCAAGAAAAAATTGTGGATGAGGCGGAATGTGACATTTGTACAGCTTTGGAAAGTGACACAGTCTTTCTGGCTCGAGGTACGGACAGGTAATTAGAACGTGAACGACAGACAGCTCATCACCACATTTTGCACAATGTGGTGCTGGAGAGTTGTTTAAAAGGTGCGAGTGTGTTGCATGAGTATGACCGATCCTGAGTCTGCACAGTGCAACCTCTTGGTGCCTGTTACGTTTTTCAGTCACATATCTTCCTATTCTTGGCTTTACTAAGTGCAGTTTGTTTGCATTTGCTGCATTCCATTCTTCTTGCCACTGTCTACGCATTCGGGGTGCGATGACTGGCCTTAGGTCCTCATACGGGATGGTGTCTACGTCAACTGATGGGCGGAGTGCTGCTGACTTCGCAAGTTTGTCCGCTATCTCAATGCCAGCAATGTTGCAGTGTCCCGGAATCCAGCATAGTGTGATTTTGAGCTTAGATTTGCGGGCTGACATGATGCATTTTCGAAGTGTATTAGTAACTGGGTTTTTGAGTATCTTAGTGGAGGACAGCGCAGTCACAGCACTGAGAGAATCTGTGTATATGACTGAGGCTGATTCTTTCTCCTTTAAAATGTGCGTTACAGCTAGAAGTATGCCATAGCATTCTGCAGTAAATATACTGGTATGTTTGTTCATTGTTCTAAATTCAGAGAAAGCGGGACCGTGTGCCGCACATGCGACTGCGGAGGACTTGGAGGCATCAGTATAATATTCAGCACACCTGTATTTGGCCTGCAGGTACTTGAAGTGTTGATCGATTGCGACTCAACATACAGGCTGGCTGTCGGGCTGGTTCGGAAAGCACCGCTGGCCAGCCGAAGCCCAAGGTGGTGCACTGGGTCAAGCATCTTCAATGCAGATCTTGAAGCTCACTCGTAAACTACCAAGCCGTAATCGATACGTGATAGCACTACACTGTTGAGAAGGTTGAGTAGACAGTCACGGTCTGTGCCCCATGACTGATGCGAGAGAATCTTGAGCAGGTTTAAGGCTTTCAAGCACTTAAGTCGTAGCTGTTTGATATGTGTAACAAAGCTGAGCTTTTCATC